CTCTCATTGCTATCATTTATTCTAATGGCAACTAATGTTGGGAAGGAAGTGGGGATAGATATTCTTGGGCTCAGAAAACGTGATTATATAATACTATAAACATATCCTTCCAAGTTTAGCATATCTCTCCTACATGTCATCCGAGTCCATTCCATTCATCCATCCATCCAAGCCCGGCGTCTGTTCAAGCGCCGTGCTTTTCACAACCCTGCTCTCCCGAAAAGTGCGATTTTATGCGCAATAGCTGTTCCGCTGGCCGGCTCATGGTTTCATCCAAATCGGTTGAAAGTGCTTCGAAACGCGAAACAACTTCTGTTGGAATTTTTGCACATCTGAAACAGCCGCACACAGTCGACTCTTTTACTTTCGGGCTCATGACACGTAAATCCACGATTCAATCAACGCTGTCAGGTGTCATAGGCCTGTTTCGGAAGCACGCTTATGCGTCTTTTTTTAAAAGCATTTCTTTCGACAATCGACACCGAACGTTTTTTTTGAGCTATTGAGTGTGGGGATCCAACGCGAACAATTTTTATTGGAGCAGTCAAATGTTTCATGCAATATTGAATTGTATGCTGGTTGCCACTAATGCCTAAGGTTGTCTCAATCTCGACAGATAGGTCACATGACGATCTTTGCTAATATCAGTTCACGCACATATGGTATCTTTGGCATCAATGGTTTTCGGAAGCTACAAGTTTTCTGATTTTGGACGACCTTCAGCGAAATTCGTTCTTGGGAGTGAACTACGAGCCTACGATTGAATTCACGCTAGTACCATGCGATAAACACTGGTCGCTTGATGGAGCTTTATCGCAAAAATTGAGTTAAGTTGCCATCCATGCACTGTTGCTGAGTTAATCCACGTCGAAAGTTGTAAAAAATAATCGCACGAAAATGTTCACTGATTTTAATTCGCATTTCTGGGCCAAGATGAATCTTTTAAGTTACTGTACAACAACACAAATTAGCGCTCTCTAATGTCAAAAAACGTTTCTGTAGTACTTATAACCTTAAACATCTAACCTTTTACGTAGAACTATCAAGTTTACCCAGATTGGCAACATCAGGGTTGCCAAATCCCGGAAACAATAAAAGGCAGACCTTCCGTAATATCAGCTACAGGAGTGATACCCGAAAAATTAGCACTGGATGTCCTTTACTTGAATGCCAAGATTTTATAACAATATGCAAAGTCTGGTAATTTTTGAATACATGCCGTATTGTCAACGAAGCCATCTAAACTCTTCAGTAAAGCAACCACAAGCCTGGTCATCATTCCTGTGTGTGGTTGACAATCCGACCAGTAGATATTGTGAATAATGAAAGATGATGATGATACTACTACTACTACTACTACTACTACTACTATACTACTACTACTTACTACTGACTACTAACTATACTATCTACTAGTAATAATAATAATGGTGTTTCAAGATGTGCAAAATCCAACAGAAGTTGTTCGCGTTCGAAGCACTTCCAACCGATTGGATGAAACCATGAGCCGGCCAGGGACAGTATTGCATAAATCGCACTTTCGGGAGAGCAGGGTTGGTGAAAGCACGGCGCTTGAACAGACGCCGGCTTGGATGGATGGATGAATGGATGGGACGTCGGGATGACATGTAGGAGAGATGTTAAACTTGGAAGGATATGTTTGATAGGTATTATATAAACACGTTTTCTTGAGCCCCAGAATATCTATCCCCACTCCTTTCCCAACATTAGTTGCATTAAGAATAAATGATAGCAATGAGAGTTGAAGACAAAATCTGGTGACGAGGAATGTTCGCTCCCGTGCATTAAAAACTATTTTGCATGGAAAATGAAGTACTGATTCGACATAAAATTCCTTTTGTTAAAATAATCAAACTCCCCACTCCTCTCGCATCTAGCGAAGCGAAGGCTCAAGTAAACGTGCGCGGATAAAAGCTACGCAGGTGCTGGAGAAAGATTGGGGTGTGGGCTGATTTTTAGCAGGAGGATGTCATGGCCCATAGTGACAAAGGCGGTAGAAAAGTCGATAAGTAGTAAAGGTACTGGTCGTGATGAAATGAGCAGGCGGGACTCGGGTTCGTACGTATGCCATTATGGCGAGTCTGAACTTCAGACTCGGAAGTGCTGATGATCGGTCCTCCCGGACGCCGTCAATCCTGTCAATGATAGGATTCAGTCGATGAAGGTTGACTTTGTCAAAAACTTTGCCGATGGAGATGAAGCTGATCGGCCGGTAATTATTTGGGTCTCCATTGCTTTTTTGGGGCATCGTTATCATATTGATTGACGGTCGCGAGTTTATTTCAGGGTAATACTGGGATGCACTTGTTAAATATGAGTCAGGTGGTGTACGGCGTTTTTCGTTTGTCCACGTAAATGAAGATTTCACCCCATCGGGATCAGTCGCTTTCGACTCGACCAGTGCTTGAAGTTGGTCATTGATTTCGTATGTCCTGGTCTGTCCATTGGTCATAGACAAACTAAACTGTGGGTTAGTGTGGGTACACTTTGCCGGGACTTGAAGTGTGTTGTGAAGGTTGTGGGTTTTCAGGAAATCAGGGATTAGGTCGTCGAGTAATTGGGTGACTCGAGAGGAGAATCTGTTTTGTAGGATGTTGGCAAAGGTTTCGTATATACAATTTGTATTCCGGGGTTCGTAAGTCATTATTGCCTGACATTGACGTTCGGAAGGTTCATGGGTGAAATAATATTTTTCGTTGTCTCGTCTGTCAGTTTCCAAAGTTTCTGGGGAAGCTTGTCTTTACTACGCCACATATTTAAGTATTTCGTCCAGTTTCGGACGTTCGTATCTGTAAAGTTGTTCTCGTATTTGTCTACGGTAGTTGTAAAAACAGAGTTCTGTCTTGCCCTGTAAAACTGAGCGTACGTTGTTGTGCAGTATTAGGGAAAGGATATGGGAGGGGGGTTGAATTTTGGATACGGGAATTGAGGTATGCTAGTGGATTTCTATAACGATCTGTTAATATGGAGATTGATATTACAGAATTTTGGGGATTGGGGGAATTAACAGGAATTTGATATTACAGAAACTTATGAATTCACATTAAGTGAAAAATATTGAAATTAATGGGCTGTGTTGATTTCTCGAAATAAATATTTAAACAAGTCTTTGAGATCGAAGATTTAAAGAATTTAATTTTTTTTTTTCATGATTGCCAATAATCTCCGAAATTTAAATATATAAAATTGTGGACATTCTAAATTTTAAGAGTTGCTAATTATTTTTCACTTATTTCTACTTCATTAACATGTTTGAACAAATAAACAAAGTATTTTCGATTTTCTTTATTCCCAATCATGGATATATATTTCTCTCTTCTCTCCACTGGCGGATCTGGCCATGCCCCTTCCTAAGGCACAACATTTATACATCAATAAACTTTTTTCTTTGTATGATTGTCTGTAGTCATATAAATTAAAACAAACAGGTTCTCTTCAAATTTCAGACATTCAGGTTTATTTATTATACCTTCATTTTTGTTGTAGTTTTTGTAACGTTTCAGCTACACCTTATAGCCCTCTTCAGACATCTGGTAAAAAAACATGCATAATTAAAAAAAAAAAAGTTTATACATTTAGTTCACTTGATAACTCTCCTAACCCATGTTATGCCTGAATTTTCATTTTTAATTCACATATCTTTACTTTTACTACAGAAAATGTTAATTCTCAAAATTCCTAAAAAATAGCAATCTCTAAAATCCAAACATGTTCCAATCCATGCCAGGTGAAAAAATAAGGCAAAAATTGGTATTAGAAGCTAAAATAGGAACCAAAAAAATAAATTAAAATCTTCTAATAATTGTAATAATGAGGACAAAGGCAAAATGGTAAAAATAGGTATCAGAAGCTAAAATAGGCAAAATAAAAATCTACTAAAACAACCCCACATGTACAATTAAGTCATAAAGTGGTAACAATAACAAAAAGGCATTTTGCCAAACTTCTTCTGGGCTCTACTGATGACAATAATTACAACAGTTCTATAATGGCAAAACATTACTAACTTTGGGGTTCATTCTACCAAATTTTATCAATTTTAACAAGTCCCAATTTTACACAACTGTGCAAACTTTAAAAGTCATGCCTTCAGAGGAGAATTTGACTTAACTGATTATTCAATGCATGTACTGATATACACTAAGGATAGATGATGCATTTTTGAAATTCATAAGAAACCATTGCCACAAAACCTCAATAGGGAGTAACTCTGTCAAGCATCAAATAAATTTAAGCTAAAAAGTTAACAGAAGTTTGCAGATTCTGGCATAGGAAACAGATTACTTCAACACGTTACAATGATGCATCAACTCGGAAAGGATGCATCTTATCATCTTAAAACTAGGTTTTTGTGGAGACTTGTGATACCCCGGAGTTGTTTCTTAAATTGCACTCTACAAAATAAGACCCTTGTAAAACTTATATTACATTTTGGGAAATTTAGCTCTTATGGGGACTGTACTCCATAGCAAGGATGGTCAGGTTTGATCAAAACGCAAAATCTAATTAAGATTAAATTGAAGGAATACTGGTAGAAACAATATTCTACAACAATTATAAAGGGATTGATTAATTTCCTGTGAAATTTATTTTCAGTCTAGTAATATTAAAATGTTTACTCACATACTATACTTGTGTGTATAATGCTATAAGACAATTCAGGGGCTGGCTATTCATAGACTTTCCAGTATGTTGCTATTTTCACTTTTAAAACAATGATTTACAAAGTGCAGAATGTTTACACAAATCAAGCTAGTAACAAAATAATAATCAAGCAATACTATGGAACTTGGATACACTGAATTGGGAAATGAAAGGAAAGATTTCAAGTTACCTAATGTTTTAACTGAGGAAGATTCAAAATTTCTTTCAAACGTGTAAGATGATGGGTGAAGGAAGAAAATTAAGGAATTCAGGGAATCAAGATATTTCTGTACATGTGTAAGAAAACACGCTATCAAATCAGAAATAACAAGACATACAAGGAAGAAAGTTATTTTTTAAATTTATTGGCACATTTATCTTTGTTACATAAAATTTATCAGTTTATTGACATCAATCATCAGATTACTAAACATACATCAAACACAATGCAAGAGGCAACCTTCTACCTTTAATAGAAGGGCAAAGGCCCTTTTGACCAATTGGCCATTACTGATCTTGTGTTGTCAGGTAAATGCCTGGTAAGTCAAGAGGGCTAATCCTTCAACTTTTGGCACTTCATAATAACTGTTGTCAAAGAGGTCTTTTGTTATCCACGATTCCTTATACACAAGGCAATGAAGTCTGTTACATTAATGTACCAAAAATTACTTTAACAAAAATATATTTATACTAGTTTCTATAATCTTCCATTAAAATACAAGTTCCAAAATTCTGAATGATACAAAAATTTGGCTTTTTCAGTGCTCTGAGCATGTACAGTAAATATAATTTATTTTTTAAGACAATTGTTTTAATAACTCAATATCAACATCGTTTCATCTTACCAATACAAAGGCAAGTTTATTATGACAAGTAAAAATATATATTTATCATACACACAACTAAACTATTAACAAGATAGGGCTGTATTTTAAAGATGCTATGTTTCATTCACTTCCCTTTCTTCCCACTTGATATATCGGCTATAAGATCTCTGATACGCTTCAGATCCGACAATTCTTCTCGCAATTTCTTAATTTCTTGATCTTTCTCTTTGGCAGTATTTTTCTGAGCAGTATTCAACATTTGCAGATTAGCAATGTCCTACAAATCAATTTATGAAAATTAAATCAACTTTTAAAACCCAAGAATTTTTCACAGACAAAAAAAACAAAACTTCCTTTAGTAAATTATTTCAAAAAATTAAACCATGTTCTACAGCAAATTTTGCGAACATTTGTAAATGATATGTTGCTTTTTTTTTATTGTTGTAAATATTGCTTACAACTTTGCAGCATACTAACTAAAATATCTATAGTCAGAATTTTGAAAGAAGATGATTTGCTGTTGTTTTCTTCATAATAAATTACATCATTATTAGCCATTCAGTAATGTGAACATAGAATATCCATGCCAGTGACAGGCTAATAATCACATAATGTAAGTCATGGATAAAACAATGGCAAAATCACTTTCTTTCAAAAACAAGACCAATATAATGGATTCAATCATTGCAATGACCTTCAATGCATGAAATAAGTCATGCTAAAATTTAACCTTAAAAATTAACATGAAATATAACTATTATAGGACATCATGGAAAAGAGGATACAAAATTATTTACAAATAATAAAACTTTTATGATTGAAAAGTCTGCGACATTCCTAGAAATACTTTGTATCAAACATGAAAGAACCACAATACAATGTAGTGGTATCTCACATATTTAAAGGTATATAACACACTTTCTGTAATAAAGGTATTAAGAATATTAATACTATATGGCTAGAATGGTGAAAGGAGCATAAAAAAACTCATGGTTAACAAGGAGATTATTACATTTCCATCAGTAAACAGCACCAGCTGAAAGTATACCAGATATATAGAACATATTTTCTATAATGAAAGGTTGTAAGACTATACTAATTTGTTCCAGATCTCAGAAATAAAAATGTGATTTCTTTAATAAGTATAACGTCCATTGTTCACTTGCCATAAGTGAAAACCAATTTTTTTTGCCTACAAGTAAAGATCCATTTTACATCCTTCTGTTTGACAAACAATTTCAGAGTTTTTGCGAACTTAGGCATGGGCAGTGAATCTCCAGAATTGTTCACCAGAAGGAAGCATTCAAGCCTTGTCTAATTGAGAAACAATACCAGTGTCCTCCTTGAAGAACTGCACAAGAATATTGAGCTGTTGACACATTTTTCATGGACGTTGTTTCTAATAAAATACCCCCTATGGCGACAATAATTTCACAATACTATATTATGAGTATACCACCACCGAATGAAATCCATAAGAGGATTATTTTTATCATCTATTGAATAATTTACAAAGACTGTATAATTGTATCAAAAGTAACATTTAATTTTGAAAGTCAGCACATCATTCATATCTGAATGCAAGTTTTCAGGTAGCACTGTGTTTTTGACATAATTTTTAACATTTTCAAGAAAATGTTTCTCTCAGAGGAATTTACAATTTTAGATGGGCTAACAACATAAACACATACCCTTTCTAGAGAAGTATTTTCTTTCCTGAGATTAGCAGCTTCAGCTTCACGCTCTGTTAGGATGCTCTTGCTTTTCTCTTGGGCTTCGTCCAGAAGTTCAAATTTTTCACTCAGATCTAAAAAAAAGGCTTTTATTTCAGGATAGTCTACAAAAACAATGATAATAAAGATAAGGATGGGGATGGAAAAATTATTAAGATCAAGATAAGAAAGATGATACATGATTGTATTTTCTCCTGTAACATGATTACAGGTGAAATATTCATCTCTGGTTAGATTTCATAGGAATGCAGATAGAAAATCAGATGATGCTAACACATTTTCATCTTAGGTTGTTGACAGTTGACAGAAGTGCCAGGAACATATATCTGATTTTTCAACAGAACAGTGTGTTTTGAATTACATTTAAAGAATGATACAATAATATAATTTCAGAAAGAATAAATGCCTTTTGCTCACCTGGAATAGTGAGTTGGTATGCATGCATCTGAAATCGATTAAATAAAAACTTTTCGATTGAACAGTGATTTAAGACAAAATGTCCCTAGGACACATCACAGAATTATTTATTTTTATATGATCTACCAACATTCTCACTCTTCCAACATTTAACTTCAACTGCTCCCTTCTGCTTCCCACACTGCCTGCTCATTAACGCCAATTTTGTCTTAAACACTTATACAAAATTTTTTCTGATATACTATACCTCCAACTACTCCAGTCTTTTTCATCCCCCATGTACTACTCTTTAACTTCTGTAGTTTTCGAAGAAACTATTACTGATACTATTGGTGACTCACCGGCTGGGGTTGGCTTACTTATCGAGTAAAAATTGTGACAAAAATAATGTTGAGGCAATATCAGGCTCTACAACTGTCTCAAAAATATCTTTGATTATTCTTCTAAAACACGGGTGTCAAACTTGAAAGACTTCATGGGCCACATCTAAAACCTTTAAATATGGTTGCAGGCCTTATTTTCAATACTTCGGTGATCCTCACCTGACTGACTGATTTCAACACCAAACACGGTTGCTCTGAATTGGGGTAGGGGGAATGGAACTATCCATTATATCAGGCCATTAAGCAGTGAAATACATAAGGATGATTTCTTCCTTACATAAGGAAGATACTTCCCAAATTTTGCATGGACACTTTTGAGCAGCCCAGAAAAAGAAAAGGTAGGTATGAGACCCCAAAATATTATGTGAAATCTGGTTACACCCCAAAATTTGCAATACTGAAAACCTGCAATGAGGAACTTTGTTGCTAGACATCAGAATTGTTGTTAAGCATTGCCTGTTAAGGATGGGTACAGGTACATAAAATTGTACCTGAGCAATAGCAGTTTACTTCAGCTAATTGTAATTAAATTAAATTGCATCTAATAAGTATATGCCCACAATTTTTCCGAGTTTTCACTGAAAATGCAAATTTACTCAAACAAGCAAGGTAACTGAAATAGTTAACTCTCAATATTCCTATTTCAGAGCTGTCTAATTATCATTCACATTCAATTCAAGACTACTGTAAATTGTATATACCATAAGGTACTCAATATTTGTAAAAATAACGATATGAACAAAAAGTTAAATATTTCTCCCACAAAAATACGAAGTACCATTATAAAAAGAATCAGTTTCTTTTAGTTTTCGTTCCAGAGCACACATTTGCACAGAATGTTCATTAGTAATACTAGTAGTTGCAGCAATTTCATCTTGAACTGCAGATAAATTTATCTCAAGGTTTCTCTTTGATTCAAGGATGGACTTTAATTTATCTTTCAAAGATTCAGATTCAAATTGTTTTCTTCTGAGCATTTTTTCCTTGTCAGTCAAGTCCTAGAGAAAAAAGTGGTATAAATAAAAAATCACAATATTATATCTATAACAATGTGATAAGTAATTTACAGGGTTTTTCAAGTTCAGGGTGAAATATTGGTGAGATCTAACAGATGCATTTAATGGCTAACTTTTACCTGTTGATATTTCTTTACATTGTTTTTATAATTAACACGGTCTACTTCTTTAATGTGTGTTAACTCTTGTAATTCTACATTTAGAATCTCAGCACATTGCTGATTCTTGAGAAGCAGCTCACGCATCTGTTGAACACGAGTATCCATCTCCATTATTGTCTGCTGCAATTCAGTGCAATGATTTTGGGCTAACTCAAGGTTGGAATACAAATTCTGTTCAGAATGTGAGGCAGCAGCAACTTTGTATTCAAATAATGACATCACAGATGATACAGTAAGACTCTTAATCTGAAAGGAGAAAACATTTTTATGCAGCTTAACAATACTTTGGTATACAAGAAAGTAAAAAGACAGTGGTGTGGAGGGTACAGCAAAACACTTCTCTGGATGTACAATCCGACAAAAGTGAAAGTAATACCCCAAAAATAGCATTGAAGATGGCGTTGGTGAACCAGAAACTGTTTCCTTCACAAAGCAAGTTACCTGTACGAACTTTGAACTTGCTATGAGAGATTGTTAAACACATAAATAATATGATGGAATTGGGACCAGGTCTTCAAAATATGAATGTACTAAGCGGGAAAATGTTTTAATGAGGAATGTGCTAATAAGATTCCACTCTATTGGATAAGCAACTTTTGATGACCATTGCCCTAAGATATACAGACAGAAAGTCAATTTCTCTATTACTCTTGTCTGGTCAATTAGCTTCATTTCAGAAGCTTACTTCGACTTGACACACTATTTCCCTGATATTAAATTCATACAGTAAAAAGCTGTACATTTCCTTTTGTCCTTCCCTAATACACAAAGTTTAGAAGGTTTCAGAGAAGACGCAAACTACTTATTACAAAGATGAAATGTATCAATCAATCTTAGCATTACATTACTCGCAGACCCACCAATTATTTTTTTTTAATTTTCTTAGGAAGCTGGAAATCATTTGTATTATTTAGGATGAGCTTTCTAAAGAAAATATGATGCAATTTATCACAACTGTAGAACTGTATAATTTAAGTTAATGGATGTGGATAAAAAAAACAAACTCTTATTCACTCAAAAGGTAAACATTCCAAATATGTCTTTGCAAAATTTGTAGTGTTTTAGTCTTATAATTGAAAACATTACTTGCTACGAAGAAACTGCCTTTATTTGACATAAAATTGTAATACGTTTTGACAAGAAATACAAATATTGAAGCAAGACAATCAATACAGGAGCATGTACCAGACAAGCATGCTGCTGTTCACGATGATGATGATGATGATTTTTTTATATAAAGACATAGAAGTTGAATGTTTTTTATTTGAACAAATATACATGTAAAAAATACCTGTAGAAAACTATCTATATCAAAAACATTAAATCAAAACCGATATTCAAACAGTGGGCCTTGGAGAAGCACTCCCTCTCCAGTATTACATAGAACCTTTTTTACCTTGGTATATCTAGGCTACCGAATAAGAATAGGGATCACAAATTGAGAGATAATTGTTTTCTCCTGGCAAGTAACATTTCGCAAATAAGTTTTGTTTAATTTAAAAAAAATTAATTCTTGAGAAAAGTAATTCTCAAGAAATGTTTATGCTCATTACCTCCTTTTTATCCAGTTTCTGCACTGCATCTTTTACAAGCTCATCAACATGTCCACCTTTTGTTAAATTCAAAGTCGCATTATTTGTAAAACTTGAAGTACTATTCGTACTGGTTTCCATAGATTGAATTTGCATTGATGAATTTCCTGACAGTATTCTGGCCAAACCTGCGAGGCTATAAATAAAGTATAATATATAAACATTTCAATAATTGTTTTATACATTCATAGTCAAATAATATAGAGAATACCTCCCTCTCAGTAATTCTCACATCAACGAACTGTGGTAGAGAACATACATAATTAATTTGTAATATTTGTTAGTTTATTAAAAAAGAATGTTATGACAACATCCATGATTAATAATAATAATAGAGTAATCATAACAATGGATTTCCCAAAAGTTGCACCAAATCAATGTCAAATAGGTACTACTATAAAATCAACTACCTAAATCACTACTATCAATGTCAAATAGGTAATACTATAAAAGTAAACATCAAAACAGCTAAGAACAAAATATCCCAAACCATCAGTACAGTTGGTGAGGTAGAAGACAAAGATTTCAAGAAACAAAAACCAACAAATGCAAAAGTTTGCACTGGTCAAAACAACCCATTAGAGAATGGTTTTCAATCCTGGCCTCAAAAATTTAAGGGTATGTGTGATGAAGATGTGTTAATTTTAAAAATTCATTTAGTCTGCCATGTTTGTAACAAAATATTGTTATAAATTTATTTCTAAATAAATATTTAGTAACGAGTCCTGCATGACTAAAATTAAAATTTACAGCATTGATAAATTTTAAACTCATCAGAATTATTTATGCGCACCCTATACTAATACATAGGGCCTAGATAATTACATTTTGTTAAATATGAACGCTGCCAAGTTCAATTGATGATATGTTGAGGTTTCCATTTCAAATAGTGCTTAAATATATTGACTACTACATTGTACACATTTTACCTCCATTTACTTTTTACATATTTCTGGATATTTTCATATGCATTTGTGTATTTGCATATTTAAGCAGTGCTATTCTGATAAAGAATTGCCTGGAAAATAATTCAGCTTTGCCAAACACTCAGGGTTGGGCAGTATTTAAATACTTATATTTCAAATACATTTTTAAATACATTTTGTATTTTTGAGGTTTTTAAACATGTATTTAATACATAAAATAGGTGTATTTAAAAAAAGAAATACTTTAAATACACAGAAATATGGAAAACACTGAAAACAAAGAATGTGGTCACTGAAATAAAGAAATACTGGAAACAAGGAAAAGGTCATGGGACCCAATCCTTAATACAAAGATGACGACTTTAAATACAGATGAAGAAGAAGATAATAATAGTTTGTTTGCTGTTTAATTCCATTTGTGAATGCACCACGTGAAAACAAAAATAAAAGCTCCTTTCAGCTGTTGAATTTCATTTCTATTCATTTTTATAAAATGAAGAGAATTTTTCTTAAACAATATATCTAAATCATTAAAAATGCTGGACAATTATCCGACAGTAAAAAAAAAGGGTTTTTTTGTTATAAAACTAGTTTAGGTTCATCCGTGCCAGTTCAATGACCATTTTCCTTCACAGGTTTTTAACATTCGTCAATTAGCAGTCTATTGCTTGATTTGTTTAAAAAATTAGTCATAAAAAAACTCTGTGTATTTGAGTTAGACTAATTTTTAAATCATTTTATATTTGAAATAGTTTATACATATATGTATATTAGAGTTAGTTATTGTAATTGACAATTACAATATATTATTGCAATAAAAAATATATATTTGTATAGAGTATGATTTTAATCTTAAAATAAATAAAGATGTCGATCTTCTTCTGCAATCTATTTCAATTTGTTTTTTGTTCTAATTATTTATCTGGTTCGTTTGGCAAGATTTAAAAAAGTACTCCCAAATCCACAATAAATGTTAATTAGAGGCCAGATAGCCTCCTTGTTATCGAAATAAACTTCAAATCACATAAAAACAGAGTAATATAATAAAAATACCTAGATTTTTTCTGTTTGACAAGTTATTTCAAAAATACACACCTGTCTTCGGGAAGAGCACGGGCATGTTTTAAGACTTGAATTCTTGTCTGATCTTCACAAAGGCCTGCAGCAAGAATCCTTTGTATATCAAAGGAGGAACACAGTTTATCATGCAAATGAAGATAAGCCATATCATATTGGGCAAGACTTGAAAGTAATGTCAATGCACTGGTACACAACAATATACTTTTACAACATTTAGATTCTTCATAAACTGTTGGAATAACATCAAACACATCTTCCATATGCTGCAACTTCACTACTTGAGCAATTTTGCTTTTCATTTGCTCAAATTTAAATATTTCTTGAAATAATTGTAAAACATCAATGAAACACTCTCCATTCACAGAAACTTCTCTGGCACTATTGTAGAGCCGAACTACACACTGCAGAAGAAACAGAAAGAAGAAAGACCATTACCTTTCTTTAACTCACAAAAAGTCTAGACAAATGGTTGAGGAATAAATATCAATTGTTTGTATTACCAAGAGCATTCTGGTGGCTGATCATTTAATAGGCTATTTTTTGCTACACACTATCCTTGGTTCAATACTCATTTTTCACAGTTGTATCAGCATCATGAAAGCATTTGGAGAGCTACTAATTTTTTCTGTTGCATGTACTGTAATGCTTTTGAATATCTTAGCAATTTATTTCAAAGTACCTCCTCCAATTTCAATTTATTATACACAATACCTCCATTTGGATTTCATTCTGGATTTGCTCCTCTTTGAAAATTTACCATTTTATGAAATTTTTACAGACCAATTACAAAAATGTTAGTCTCTTAACCACATCACCTCATCAAACCAAATGCATGTTCACAGTAGTTCACTCCATCATCTCTCCCTCCCTCCTCCAACTCCTTCCTTTCTCTACCCTCAGCCATTCCTCCCCAATTCCTCTCTTGCCCTTCTGTTCTCTTTCTTCCATCTTCCCCTCTCCCCTTCCATCTTTCCTCAGTACATTCTGTATCTTCTCCCCTAAATCCCCGCTCTCTAAGCCCTCTTCCTATCCCATTCCACATCACTCCAGTACATACTCCCACATCCCTTCCTCCGCTCACATATCCTACCTCTCTCCTCACTTTCCACCAGTACCTTCTGAACCTTTGTTCCATTTCATAGTCAAAATCTAGCTATCCTCCTGTTTTTCTCACTTCTCATTCCTCTCAAATGTTTTGGCAGCTCCAAGTTATCTCCTTTACAAACTAGATCAATCTTTGCTGTTCTCTTTTATTATCCTGAAATGTTGTGGCTTTTCTTTTCTTCATAATTTCCATTTGTACTCTTTTTGATTATAAACAAATGTCATTATATATATATATATATATATATATATATATATATATATATATATA